AAGCTGGGGATGCTGCAGATAATATTCTAGACATGTCGAGGTTGAGGCGATAGGAACATCCGAATGCTCACAGTGTTTGGGGTAGTTTTATCAAGGGGCTCAGGCAATGTTTCTAACAGTTCTAGGGTGAAGGGTCTCCTTGAGAATGGAGTACATCCCAGACAGAAATACAATTGATTTCCTTAACTTTTAATTTTGGTTCATGTAATGTCATCACAGAACTAGGGTTTCACTGCTTTTAGGCTGAATCTGGGTAGCATTTCTCTGAGCTCCTCAAAGAGTACTTGGGCAATATAAAGTTTTCATCATTATCAGCACCCAGTGGGGCCCATCCATCCTGCCTAATTCACATTCAGCCTTTTGTGCTGCCTTTCTGCCCGAGGACCCCAGTGTCTCTCCTTCCAGTTGAGCATTAATATTAACGATGGCCGCTAGAGCAGAAAACCAGATCAGCAGGCAGAGACAGATCTGCGCCCTCAAGAGTTCCAGTTTACCCAAATGTGAAGGTCTGGGGGGTATTTTTGTCCTTCAGATGAAGTCTGGTGAGTGATGAGAATAACTTCTTTCCTTGAGTGAAAGGCTGATGCTGTTTGGGATGGTTCTCTCTGTGCAACCTCATTTAGCAGCACACTAAGCAGTGGTTCATTAAGCTGTAAGCAGCTGTGTAGTGGCACCAGAGGCTTCTGAGGGCACTGGGCTGAGGTAGTGGTTTCACTGTTCAACCTCTGAGTCTGGGGCCATTTGGACCTCTGGAGGAAGAACAGAGTAATGAGTGCAGTGAAATTGAACATGGCCAGATTTGCCCTAACATTGATTAAGGCTATAGGCTCTAAGGTCCAGAAATAGTAATGACATTACACATAAAACAAGATGGGGTGAATTTTGCAAAGGATCATTCGTTTTCCCATTTCAAGGCTTGAGTGCTCAGACATAATAGGGATAAGAAGTAAAGTACAATTAAAAATTGTAAATTCGTAGTTTGGCCCATCTTCCAAGTTATGGTTAGGTGCATTTTGACATGTCTTAGATTTTTAATCTTTTCTTTAACTGTGTGGCTTTATGGACTGGCTCAAAATCATCTTAAGGTTAAGGAGTTCCTCTGGCACCTGATCTGTTCACTTGTTCTTCTTCCATTTGTAAGTCGGCAATGCCCCCAGTGGCAGTAAGCACAAATAGCTCAATGTGCTTTGAGTCATACTTTCCGTTTTTATAACTTTTACTTGTTTTATAGCCTAATTTTTTGGCCTGACTCATTTTTCCTCTCTTACTGCTCTATTAATAAAATTCACAATGCCTCGATTGTAGCAAAGACTCAAATGTTCATTGAATGACTGTTTCATAATCATAGGAGGCAGGGAAGTGCTCAGAACGTTTCCGGCTTTGGTGGTGCTGTTATGCAAGTAGCGTAGGCATAAGAGTAAGGCATACCTGGCCTCTAATCCTGATTCCACAGGCAAGTTATTTAAACTATCCGCATCTTAGTTTCCTCATCTGCTAAATGGGAGTGTATGATCTTCCCATCATACAGAATCATTGTGAAAAAGTGAAGAGGTAACATATGAAAAGTGCCTACCAGAATACTTAGCGCATTGATAGGCCCTTGGAAAGTATTTGCCAAAGAAATGAATAACTCCAAGGCAAAATTTCAGAGGACGTGGCCAGCCTTCCAAACATAGCAAAGTTTCCAGAGTTTCATGCCGATGACATGTAATCCATTATGGCACTAGCTATGTGATATAATCCTTTCTTTCAATATACATGTACAATGGCTAGTTTTGTGGTGAAAGGGAACTTGCATATCTCCTAAAATGATGTGAATTTTTCTAGAGGTGAATTGAAAGGGATTTACTTTTTTCTTTTAATAATGCAAACCAAGAACAAAAATGCCCTCTATGAGGTAGATTCTAACTTGCTGTGAGGACTTTAGATTGCTTAAAGTGATGAAGAAACAAGAAGGACCAGAGTGAAATGAACTATAGGGAAACTTCCTGTTCTCAAAAGAGCATTTGCAGACAGCACTATGGTCTCATGGCTTGCAGATTGGATCACTGTTCTCCTGAGAGCCACCAGGAATACTTTAGCAATACCCATGTTCTCATGGACTTCCCAGACCATTTGAGGACACCTCTAACAATGATAAAGAAAGATCGTGCAATGGGCGTGTTTTCATTTTAGGGCTTAATTAATTTTATTCACAACATAATGAAGTAGGCTTATTTCCGGAAGGAAGTGGAGCTCTGTGCTAAGAGGTCTGTTACTTTGGCTTTTCCTATCAAGTATCCGTAACTCAAGCAATCAGAGAAGAGACAGGCTCAGAATTAATGAACAAACCACCCAATAAATCAGATAAAAATGGGATGCTCGTGATGAAATGTTCTCTAAACTCAAGTTCGGAGTCTAATTGAGCGTGTGGGAACCGAGCACCTGGTCCTCCAGGAGAATGAGTCCGCGGGCTTCCGAGCCATTCAGTGTGCCCAGAAATGCTGTAACTTACTCCCCCTAGGCACCCCCACTGTCAAAGCCTCAGCTTCTCAGTCACACCCTTTTTGGACCCTAAAAATTTACTCAATTCATATTGCTGAACAAGAGAAACTTACCATTTCATAACATTAAACGTACACGCTAAAACTGCCTTACCAGATAGGTAACCATTTTAAGATTATATGAAAAACGGCCCTCCTTCGTGTTAGCAGTCAGCTGGGGTGTCTGTTTTGTAGCTGCGATTCAGGACTCCCAGAGAGGGTTTGGAGGCTGCCTGCAGCTTACTTGTGACTTTACTTCAATATGACAATGGGGAACTCCTGAAGATGGCAGCAGCACTTTAAATTTCATGAGCCCAGGAAGGCCCTATGGTTAACGCAACCAGAATCAGATGATACTGCAGTCTCCCTATTGTCTCCACGCCCCCACCAACATTTCCAGCCACTGTTGCAGATTTCTGCGTTCCCTCTTTGAGCCTCGCACCGTGCAGAGTGTAGGGAGGAGGACGCCAAGCTCAAGAAATGTCGAATCCTCTTCACCAAAGAAGAAAGGCATTTTTAAACCTTTCAACACTACTAGCCCCTCCACTTCCCTCTCAAATGTGGATTCTCTTTCCATTTGAGTGTGAGACTGCAGGAATAGAAACAGATTGTAGATCATACACAGATGTTTAAAAATGGAATTACCGTTCGCTGCCTAGTTATACTATCAGACAAAGAATAAACAAACTATTTCCTCTGCTTTCTAAGGCCAGAAATGCCCATGAAAGAAAATTAATGTTTACTCGGTAATTTCTGAGAATGATAAATTGCAGTGTCTGTACATAAGAGGTGTTCATAAGTATAAATCTGAGTCTTTCACATCTGATTTAAAAGCTCTACTATTTATATATTTTCTAAATAGAGCTGAAGGTCTCAAACATATTTTCTAGGCTGATTATTACAATTCCACTTATAATTATTTTTAATTTAGAGTTTTAAATTGCAGAGGCAATACAACTTTGTATAAAAAGGGAAACAATTCAAAAGTATATGTAGAAAATATTGACAATCTTTTCTGTCCTATCCTGAGTTAACTGTTAAATATGCTCATCCTATTTTCTGTCCTATTCTGAGTTAACTATTAAATATGCTCATAAAAATATTTACCAAAAAGTGGGATCAGACTGCACATTATTGCAACATTCTCTGGATTAGTAGATACAGATTTAAGTCTTTAGTAGCCGAATAATATTCTGTAGTATGGATGTAACAATTTACTCAACCATAGCTCCTGTGAGGGGTATTTGTGCTATTTTCAGTTTTGAATTACCACAAACAATGCTGCAATTTCATGTGCAGCCTTGTACACTGATGCTTTTATTTCTGTAGGCCCCAGTCCTCAAAGCGAAATGTTATGTAGGGGGGTTTGTGTAGTTCGGATCTCAGCGAATGCTGCCAGATTGCCTTGTAAAACGGGTATAACATTTGAGTGTGTATTTGCCTATGTCCTTACCAGCACTTGATGTTTCCAATATTTAAAATTGCTGTGCCAATCTGTTGGATAGAAAATGGTGTCTTGCTTGAATCTGCATGTCCCTGGCTAGACCGCAGGGCATGTGTCTGAAAGCGCGGACCGGGAGCCGGGCAGCCCAGCTGTACTGCTTGTGAGCTGTGTGACCTCAGCCGAGTTACATGACTGCTCTGTGATTCGGCTTCACTGTTCTCACTGAAATTGGGAAATAAACAACAGTACCTGCCAGATAAGATTACTCTTAGATGTAATTGAGTTAATATTTGTAAAGATTTAGAACAGTGGCTGGTGCTTAGACCTGTGCCTGATACATAATGAGCACTCTGAGTTAAATAGATGCATTCAAGTAATATTGAACATCTTTTTGTATATTTATTAACCATTTGCATTTTCCCTGCTAAATATGAAATGTCCAAATGTTTAATTTTTAGTGTACAAATGTGAATGGTTTTTTTTCACTTTTGACATCAATTCACACCCAGGAAAAGCACGGTAATCACGACCCCAACCCCCTCCTGCAGGAAATACCCCACTGCCTGTAAATTCCACAGGTGGAGAAGGGCTTTGTTAGAATGTTTGTGTGAGAAAGAAAAAAGAAATATTTTGACAAACAGACAATTTTTCACGTAAAAAAACATGTCAGGATTAATTCCTCCTAATAAAATATATGACTTGAACTTTTCTTTTTTAAAAAATTGTCTTTTTCTACATTTCCTTTTAGTCCCCTTATACTTCCCTCCCCACCAGCAATCACCTCACTGCTCTGCATGTCCATGAGTCCTTTTTCCTCATCGTTCAGTCCCTCCACCTCCTACCCTTCCCACCACCCCCCACACTAGCTGCCGTCCTCCATCTTTGAGTCCGTCCCCATTTTCCTTGTTAATTCCAGTTTTTCATTAGATTCCACATATGAGTAAAATCATATGGTATTTGTCTTTCTCGGACTGGCTTATTTCACTTAGCATGATGTTCTCCAGGTCTACCCACACTGCTGCAAAGGGTACAGTAAAAATATGGAATGCTTCAAAATGTGCATGTCATCCTTGTGCAGGGGCCAAGCTAATCTTTTCTGTAGCCTTCCAACTTTTAGTATATGTGCTGCTGAAGTGAGCACTGAACTTTTCTAATAGGTGGGACCTCAGTTTACCTAATCAGAGACATAAATTCATTAGGACTTTTCAGATAGGGAGAGAGAGAGGGAGAGGGAGAGGGAGAAGGCAGTTAAAAGAGACTTAATTGCGATGGATATACATTGTAAATGTATACGAATGAAAAAATCATCATTTGATATCTTGGATTTCAAAATAGCTCAGCCTTTTTATTTGTTGCGATTACAACCACATACCTCTCTTTTTTCAGTTGGTTATTTTTCACTTGGATTTATCCCCCATAGGGAATCTTATATTATTTATCAATCACATAAATCTAAAAACACCCAGCATCAGACTTGCTTATACGTCAGAGACAACTATTTCTTGTGTTCTTCCTCTCAGCTTCTGCCAGCAGTGTGCTCCTTTTGTGTTTTTGCTATATCTTCTGTGTGATGGAAGTATGCTCTTTCACCAGGCATTGGTGTTAGTCTGTTTTGGTTAAATTCAAAATTGACCAGTCACATTTCATTTCAGAATTATGAGGAGGGATGGGGGGGTAGGTGAAAGGAGAGGGAGGCCACGAAACGTTCTGAACCACATTTGTTGGCATTTATGTAGTATTCTTATGGAAATATCAAACTGACTTGTATTGAACCTTGGAAATAATGGCAGACAACAAGACTGTTTATGGAAATATACCCCCTTTAATAATCTCAACTCCCAGCATTCTGATATCTTTCCACATTTCCTATTTTTCCAGCTTATTTTTTCTAAATCTGTGCTCGAACAGCTCTTGCACCTCACCTCCAGTCCTTTGACCATTGCCCTGGTCATTATCTCTTATGTCTTTGCCTTTCTCCTTAATGCCCCTGCACACACCTTCAGTTCCCTTGCCCCTTTCTTTCTCCATCACCCTAGTCTGAATTAATAACCACACACATCTGGTGCCCAGTGTGGTCAGCCAGTCTTGCAGCATTTCCCTAGTCGATTCATTCCCTTCCTCCCAGATCATCATCTCACACTTATTTCTCTCCCCTCCATCTCCAGCACCCCTCCCTACTCCTCACTCCCAGCTCATGACCTAATTTCTTATGTTACTGAGAGAATACAAGCAATCAGAAGAGAAATTCCACATGTCATCACCAAAACCCATAACCCAGCTGCACCTGTCCCCACAAACCGGCTCTTGCTGTTGATGCAGTGGGTGAACCATCCCTGTACCTCCTTCCACTTGTGTGCTTGATTCTGCACACCCCGGCTTTGAGCGCCCAAAGCCAGTGCTGCTGTGGTTTTGCATTCTTTCTCCTGAGAGATTGGTTTCCGCCTCCTTACTTGGTCATTATTGTGAACATGCAATAATGTTGCAATATCCCACCTTTAAAATGTTTTCAATATAGTTGTTAATTGCAAGCTATATAAACAAATTGATATATACTTATTTTAATAAGGGGAAATGTGTCAAAAGGTAAAAGGCATGGAGCTGGCTCCTTTCCCTGAATTAGTGACACAGTCCAGACATTCTATAAATATGCTAAAGCTAACCTTGTTAATTGTTATATTTCAAACTAGATAGGCTCCCAAGTAAAGCAGAAAGACGTTATTACCAGGTTTCTGTGGAAGAATTAATAAAAGGAACATTGATGGGCCACAAACTTCTAGTAAACATGGAAAATCATGCAACTTTGATAAAGATGTTAAAATTAGTTTAAAGTGGAATAACTTAGACTCTCCTATTCCCAAGAAAGTACTAGAGAGATAATATATGAGTTATTAAATATAAAGCTATTTTGAGCATTAATAAATTGCACACATATTGCCTAAGGAAAAGAATACTTCTGCTTCTCCAAATTTTTAAATTGTATTTCTCATCACTGAGAGGATTCATCACCTCTGAGGATAGAGGAGGCAGGTGTATGGTGCCAGATTGGCTCTGTCAGTGCAGGTGAGCAAATTCACTGGTACCTCTCATCTCATGCTGTTGGAATTTCGGTTTGTGTGGTTTATGGAGGCATCTGGCTGCTGTAAATGGCCACTGTCTCCTCTTGGACTTCAAGTCTCCCCCAGGTGCACCCTTCATCTGGGTCACATCCTTTGCCCTGACACCGAGTGCTGCAAAGACATGCCTGGGATTTTCAGTTACCTCTTGGAAGTCCTAATTGTCTGAGCAGTACAAATATATGCAATTTCCATAATGCCTGTTTCTATCCAGAAGAAAGGTCTCTGCTGAAAAGACAACAAACCATGGTTTCAGATCTCTCTGATTTTTCAGAAGTCACAGATAGTAGTACCCTTGGCCTACCCAGGGTCTACCCAAGACCCCCAGGGCAAAGAGTTTATGTGTAGTAGGACTTCCCACCCTGGAAACAGTGGTGCTTTCAGGGGATTAAGTCAAACATGCTGTCATACTGTGTACATGTTGGACATTCCTGGCTGGGACCCCCTGTGGTTCTTCCACATCAGCCTGGCTGCCATAGCTCTGTGTTTGCAAACCAGGAGAGTACCAGCTTCTCAATGTCAAGTGCAAGGCCACTCTGGGGACAGGATGGCAGTTCAGTCATCTGCCCAGGTTGTTGATCACTATTGCATCTTAAAGAAAAACACAACCTTTGACCCCAAGTTACTCTCAAGCTTCTGTCCCACTTGACTCCCACTACAGTAAAGCTCAAAAAGTTGTGCACATGCTCCTGTGCCCTCTAGTTTCTCTTCTCCCATTTTTCTCTTGAACCATCCCCCCCCAGACTCTTCTCCCTCATGCCACATCCATTTTGTCAAATCTAGCAACTGACACAGCTGAGCACCCCTTTCTTCTTATAACACTTTCTTTTCTTGGTTTCCAAAACACGGGGCTTCCTGGTTTTCTTTCTAGTTCCTCCACTGGCCCCTCCTACTCCTCTGTCTGACCTCTTAACATTGCACAGCCCCAGGGCTCACTCCTTGGGCCTCTTCTCCCTCTTCCATTCACACCAGCTTACTTCCTCCGTGACCTCCGCTGAGAGATAGAATACAAGATTCCCAATTAAATTTGAATTTTAGATAGACAACCTATAATTTTTTAGTCCCATAATTTTATTTCCTGTGTCTGACAAATTTACCCATTCAGTCTTTTCCCTAATGACTGCTAAATTTCTATTTGCAGCCTAAATCCCTCTCCTGAACATTTTACAGATGGGAAAACTGAATCTTGCATATTTAATGAAAACTGAGTCTTGCATATTTAATAACCTCAACATCTCCACTTAAATTTCTAACAGGCAGCTCAGATTTACCACGTCCAAAACGAATCTCAGTTCTCTTTCCTCCCGTCCAATGTATTCCTCTCCTAGGCTTCCCCTCTCTGACAAGGGCATCACCACTCTTCCAGTCGATGTAGTTGTCTCTGCTGCACACTCAGGCCATTAGCAACTTCCCCAGATGGAGTCTTCACGCTATAATCTCACTTTTCCCACCTCCACTCCTACCACACTAATGCTCACTATCATCATCTCACTGGGGCAGTTGCGGCAGCCTTCTAATGGGTCTTCCTGTTTCTCTCCTTGTTCGCCCCAATATAGAATCCTCAGAGGAATCTTTTAAAAATACAAACCAGATCATGTCACTCCTTTACACTAAAACCTATCATGTCTGCTCTACTGTGAATAGAATGCAAAATTCTTACTGTAGCCTGCAAGACTCCTCACCATCTGTCCCTCTGTCACCTCCCTGACCTCATGGGCCATCATTGGACCACTTACTCCCGTTGCTCCAGGCACATTGACTTCTTGGCTCTTCCTAGAACATGCCAAGTACCCTCTGGCTTCCAGGATTTCATTACTGTCACCTCTGTTTGGGATATGCTGCCTCTATGTATCTGAATGACTTGTGCCTTGTTCCATTTAAGCCTCAGGGTGAGGCTTAAGTGACAAGAATGTCACTTAACAAGAAAGGCATAACAAACACCCTACCTAACACCCCTCCCTCCATCATGCTCTGCCCCCAAAGCCTGCTTTATTTTTCTACCCACCACCTGGTATATTTACTTATTGTCTATTTCTACTGCCTCCCACTACAGTATAAACTCAGTGTGAGCAGGGCCTCTGTTTGTTGCTGCTGGGTATCTGGGGTCAACAATAGGGCCTGTGATTATAATTGGCATACATATTTATTGAACAAATGGCTGATCCAATTCATGAATGGAAGAAATTTATTAGGGAAGTTGGGATGAAAGAAATTGGCTTTTCTTTTGTTCTGTATTTTAACTCAGTGTATAACCAAAATAGATTTATTTTTGTTGGCTTAACTTTTCAGTTCTGCAAAATGTCTGTGTGGGAATAGTTATTCCCTTCCCTCAACAAATCAGTAAAAACCTTCCACTACTTAGAAGGATTTAAAAAGAAGGGAGGGATGCATCTTTCACTAAAATAATATATAGGATCAAGAAGTGGAAAACCTCAAACCAAAATTAAGTACTAAAAGTTAGTCAAGTATTTGCCCTTATAGTCTTTACAGAAAGTACACTTGGAGCAATACATTGTCCTAGAATACAGATATTTTTCTTTAGAGTTTATAAAGAGCTCTTGTTTTGAATCTGATCTCCGTTTCACAAATGGGAAACTGAGTCTCAGAGAGTTTGCTGTGTTACGAGCCTCAATTCAGCCCAGTGTGATAAAGAGATACAGCCTTGGAAACCTTTCCTATTAGAATCACCTAAGTTGACCATGAATCTGGAAAAATGCCTTTCCCATAATAATTATAGACAGGGCTTAGGAAGGTGACACTTCTAAAATAAAGTGGAGAATTTGTATTTCCATTTGGAAAAATTGTGAGAACCAATTCTAATTTTTTTTAGCTTCCATTTCACTTATTTGTATGTTAGCCTTGAGTTTATTTCATACACTTTTTCCATATTTTTGTTCAAGAATAAACTGTTTCTATGGATTTCTCAATCTTTCATGGGTTTTGAGATTTTAAAAGCCTGTGATCCCAAATACGCTTTTCTTAGTTTAGTTGGGCTGCTATAACAAAATACCATAAACTAAGTGGCTTA